TATGAGCTCCTAAGTGGTACGTGGGTAAATAAAGTATTCTATCACATCCCATCCCATCCCATCACATCCTATCCTATCCCATCCCATCCCATCCCATCACATCACATCACATCACATTATATTATATTATATTATATTATATTATTTCAATATTATTTTAATTTATTTGTTTCCATTTTTAAAGTCCTTCAGTCAGGCAACAACATTAGCTGTCCACGTTCTTCAGACAACCATGCCTTCATTGATGTTTGTCTCAATGGCGGAAAACAAATCTGCTGCAACAGAAATCTTCCAGCTTGCAGATACAATACCCTTCTGACAGACCCAAATGGAGTCATTACAAGTCCTGGTTATCCATCAAGTTACCCACCTAATTCATTGGTTGTTTGGAGAATCACTGTGCCCGAAGGCTTTCTTGTGCAAATAAATTTTACAACATTGAAAATAGACAAAGGGTTTTCCTGTTCAAGTTGCAACTGCGACTATGTAGCCGTAAGGGACGGACCTTGCTCAAACATTGATGGCATTAAGTGGTGTGGAAGTAGCTGGAATAGACTTCCAAGCTTTGTATCAACGGGAAGACATCTTCAGGTGGTTTTTAAATCTGATCAATGGCGAAGTGATRACGGGTTTGTTGCACGGTACAGAAGAGGTAATCATCAAAAATTGATTTTATTCTTATACTTTATGTTATATTTGCTATTTTATCTGCTTTTGGCACTGCCTAAGGCCTGTCTGCTTTAAGTAACATAAAACACATATTAAAATAAATCAACTTTGTTTGTACAAGATGACACTTGCCAGTAATTCAGCTGACATACTCGTGGTCCTCTTTAATTTTAATGTCTTTAGTTGATTAGGAACGAGACCACCATTAATTAACGTGGTTATTCGTGCCACGTGAAGGTCTAACCATTTGCAGATGTGATTACAAAGGCAGCACCTTCTCTTCAGCTATTTTGGGACCCTGAGTGTTACGCACATTGTAATGATCATTATCATGTAAAATCGATGAGTTATGTTGCTTTATTTATTTACATTTCAATTTTAGCTCTGAAATGTGGTGGTGAAACATCTTATTCTTGTTTGAACAACGGTGAGCCAGCATGCTGCAAGACACAAGGAGCCAGTCTTGTTTCTACCGCAACAAAGCTTTGGTATGTAAAAGTTTTTGGTGAGTCGGTTGGTTTGTTGGTGGGTTGGTTTGTTGGTGGGTTGGTTTGTTGGTGGGTTGGTTTGTTGGTGGGTTGGT